TGTTTTTGTAAGTGCTCATGACTACTCACTCAATTTAAACAGACCCCAATCAAACTTATCTACAACTTCCCTCCCCACTTGCATTTTTAGTCCCTCCTATATAACCATCCACCGACAGAGTGAGCAGTTCCTACCGATCCGACTATTAGAGGGCAATTTGCCTGTTGTATTGTCACAAAAGCATTGATTTTACTTGCCTTCTGTTTAAGAGTATTATAAAAAGTTTTTGTCATTTTGTAAAAAAGGCTGTCATTCTAGCAGGATTCTGTTTTACTTCGATACTTCAGTAAAAGAAAAACTGAATTTCGTGCCATAAATTTTTATTTTCATTAATTTTCATTTTGTTTGTACTATACCTAAAGACAAAGTTCATAAGCAGTTCTTTAAACTATTCAAACCATATGAAATGTATTATTAATTTTAATTTTTACATCAATACATAAATAAATATTGATAGAATATAGCGAAGCTACAAAATTGTCATCGTTTCGTTATTACACAAAATACATAGACAGTTTTATAGCTTTGATATATTTTATTTATGTATATGTATATATTGTAAATACCTACTGTCAGCCAAAATTCTATTATAATTTTTATGTTTTTTGTTTTAGTTTTACATTTAGTAAGAAGTCTTATTACACATAAGACATATTCTATGGCATTGTATTTTAAAATCACTCAAAATCAGACCTTATAAATTGAAATAACTTTGTGTATTTTTGAAAATTTTGTTTAATGTTTATACAATTATTACAGAGGTTTACTACTTTTACTGATAGTGCAAATTAATTTTAATTTAATTAAAAAGTAATGTTGATTGTTCATGTGAAAAGTTATAAAATGCATTGCAAAATGCTAGGGGATTAAACTAAGTCCCAAATATAATATACAGTAATATCAATTGTCATTTATAAATTTTAACACAGCCGTATTAGTTATGCAGTATTATGAATTTTGGAGAAAAGTCTGTAATACTATCAATAATTTAACTTTAATTAAAAGTTTTTTGAAATATTTTAACTCTATATGAATCTATCACAATTACCATTTATACTCTTTTGAGGACAGATGTTAATGAACTGATAAAAAATGATAAGTAATATTAATTTAAATGATTTTTTTAAACTTTTTAATGATTTTGATTGTGTAACAAAACAATTTCTGATTTTTTTCTAGTATATTAATATTTTATAATGTTCAGGAAATTTATTAAGAGAGAAATTTAATATACATATACTTTAATACATGGATTACACAGGATTTGTTAATGAATAATAAATAATGGGTTTTTATTTTTTCAAACCCACATGGATTTATGGTTGTGGATTAATAACAGGATACTAAAGCAATTATAAAAACTATGTAACTCTTAATTAAAAAAAANTGTTTATGTACAGTACGTGATAAAATGCATATCATTTTTTGTCTCACCCTGCTCAGTGGTCGTAAATTCTTAACCCTTAACTGGTTTCGTAAATTTTACAATCATAACTGGTATCGTGGGGGCTGCGCAGCTCCCAAGCAAAATTTGCCTCTAGAGATCAAATTTGAACAATGTGTAGTTTAAAAGTGCATAAATGCAAAATGGAACCCCTGTTTAGTATAATAAACTATTATTTATTCATATAATTTTTTTCATTTGATTATTACAAGAGATCACAAAATTGTTTTAACTTTTGGTGTTTGCTTTTTTCAACAATATGAAAATATAGCCTATTGTAAGTTTCTAACAAAAGTAATGTTTTTTCTTATTCTTAAGAAACTAATCTTACAAAAAAGTAACTCTTATAGCCTCTAACTATCANAATTCGCCTGTTGTATTGTCACAAAAGCATTGATTTTACTTGCCTTCTGTTTAAGAGTATTATAAAAAGTTTTTGTCATTTTGTAAAAAAGGCTGTCATTCTAGCAGGATTCTGTTTTACTTCGATACTTCAGTAAAAGAAAAACTGAATTTCGTGCCATAAATTTTTATTTTCATTAATTTTCATTTTGTTTGTACTATACCTAAAGACAAAGTTCATAAGCAGTTCTTTAAACTATGCAAACCATATGAAATGTATTATTAATTTTAATTGTTACATCAATACATAAATAAATATTGATAGAATATAGCGAAGCTACAAAATTGTCATCGTTTCGTTATTACACAAAATACATAGACAGTTTTATAGCTTTGATATATTTTATTTATGTATATGTATATATTGTAAATACCTACTGTCAGCCAAAATTCTATTATAATTTTTATGTTTTTTGTTTTAGTTTTACATTTAGTAAGAAGTCTTATTACACATAAGACATATTCTATGGCATTGTATTTTAAAATCACTCAAAATCAGACCTTATAAATTGAAATAACTTTGTGTATTTTTGAAAATTTTGTTTAATGTTTATACAATTATTACAGAGGTTTACTACTTTTACTGATAGTGCAAATTAATTTTAATTTAATTAAAAAGTAATGTTGATTGTTCATGTGAAAAGTTATAAAATGCATTGCAAAATGCTAGGGGATTAAACTAAGTCCCAAATATAATATACAGTAATATCAATTGTCATTTATAAATTTTAACACAGCCGTATTAGTTATGCAGTATTATGAATTTTGGAGAAAAGTCTGTAATACTATCAATAATTTAACTTTAATTAAAAGTTTTTTGAAATATTTTAACTCTATATGAATCTATCACAATTACCATTTATACTCTTTTGAGGACAGATGTTAATGAACTGATAAAAAATGATAAGTAATATTAATTTAAATGATTTTTTTAAACTTTTTAATGATTTTGATTGTGTAACAAAACAATTTCTGATTTTTTTCTAGTATATTAATATTTTATAATGTTCAGGAAATTTATTAAGAGAGAAATTTAATATACATATACTTTAATACATGGATTACACAGGATTTGTTAATGAATAATAAATAATGGGTTTTTATTTTTTCAAACCCACATGGATTTATGGTTGTGGATTAATAACAGGATACTAAAGCAATTATAAAAACTATGTAACTCTTAATTAAAAAAAAATAACTATTTGCATTATACAAATATCATATTTACATTGTAACGCTTATAGTATACTGTAAGGGATACGAGGGTCAGGGAATTTTTAGGAAGATGGTGAGGGAAAGTTGGAGAATTTAAAACAAAAATTTGAGTAGGAAACACATGAATAGGAAATGATAAGGGTGGAATAATATGACAATGTAATTAACAAAAAATTCATTACAACAGGAGAAGTGTGGTAAAAGAAATGCATAAGCACAAATTGATTAACCAATTATAATAGTAAAGAAGAAATAGGAGTGAGCATGAGTTAGTTGTTTGTAGAAGAAGCAAGAAAATAAATAAAATTAAATTAAATTAAATTAAAGAGAACTAATTTTATTGCTATAGTTTGTATGTCTGCCAAGATGCACTACTACAAGAATGTGGTTTAAGGAGTAGAATTTATGAGAATGAAGTTACAGTTGAAATTTATTGGTGAAATTATTCTCTTGGTAATAGAGTTTTTCCCCCCCCTTCTGCACTGAGGTTGTTTTTATCAAGCCTGTAATGGTGATAGCCGGATGGCGTGGAATAAACCAAAATCATCATCTCCATGATGTAAGCAAAGTTTCTAAATCACTTCTTATAGTGTGTAGTGTGCAGCATATAATGGCACAACCATTGTAAATATAGCAAATTGTATAGATAAATATTAACTTTTCCTATGTAATAATAGCTACAAAGAAAGCGATAATTACTANTGCCGAATTCCTATGTCTAACTTTTAACTTTTCTAAAATAATAGATTCGTTATAGAAATGAATTATACCGAACTCTTTAGAATGTTCTGCTACAAATCTAAGCTTCCTGAACAGTGTGTTAAACAGAGATTTTCATTGTCAAGCGCAACTGCTTCGAAATCAATAATCACTTGTATTAAAAGACATACATCTACACAGTTACATAGAATTTTACCACCTTCTTAAATTGATTTTTATATATTTTGATCTTAAACTTGTGAATTTTTCGATGATTTGCTTTTATCTAGAGTTAGGTCTAAGTTAAAAATTTTTGTCAAAGACAAACTTTTAAATAAAAATACTTAATTCCTGAAGACGGGGGGCTCTTGTATAAAACGTTCTTGCAAAAAAAGTTCTTTGGGAGATATCGAACCAGTCTCTTATAAGTAGAATTTATACCATCTTTTCACTCGAAAACAAAGGAAAAGGGATATTTCAAATTAGCAACTTTTAACTGCTTTTTATTTTATAAAATCGCTTTTCTTGCGCCAGCAGAAGGCCTTTTAAACAATAGGAAGTCTGTTAGCGTTGGTCAGCAGTAGTCCAAATTCAATACGAACGTTTGTTTCTTAAATATTTGATCACGATTTAAATACAGTATTTATTTTTTATATCACCGATATGTCATCGAAAATGAAACGTGTTGTATTATCATTAAAAGACAAATTAAAGTATTTGTTTCGATTATCCGNTAAAACTTACAAATTTTGACTCGAATTTGCTAATCTTGCTAAGGATTATCAAGGTTATTTATCGCATTGATTGTCAGTTACAAAAATTGTTATTAACATATTTATGTACAATAAATGTAAAATTAAAAGATATATATTAAAATAGTAAGAGCTTTTTTTGGCTTGTAACACACACTTTTTGGTAGGGTCGATGTGAGGTTTCGAAAAGTTGTAGGAGGTCGACGATTAAAAAAGTTTCGCGAACCCTGTTATAACTGAACACGTGCCACGGTTACACGTGTTTGTTCTCGCCTCTCCACGTCACCATATACGTAACCATAACCCTCTTGGGTCATTTAACTTCCGGTAATAGAGGTATTAATCTAACATTTGAACTTGTTGTAAAGTTTCTAATTTTTCTGCCCTCTCCCCGTAAAAAAGATAGTCAACTGATAACGTCTGAATATACTTTCTTAACATAAACGAATTAATTTAAATTACTTTATAAAAATATATAGAAAACTGACCTGATTGTCAATACGATGCTCCTGAACCTCACACACACGTTAGAAGTAAAAACTAAATCTTCCAATTGTAAATATCTGAATATTTTAAAGAAAATTTCGTTGGGTAGGACCCGAATCGACGTAATTTGCTCGGACTCCATCATACACTACCGAACTATGTCACAATAACCACTGTCGATTGTGTGTTTCGCTTATCGCGTGTAGATAAACACGTGTCTTTGGAGCAATCGCGTTATTGCGTAACGAGTGAGAAATATTTTGGGGAAATTTCCCTATTGTTCCGTAGCAGTCTTATATCGATCGATGTTCGGGATTAAAATTGATACTATTTTAATTTTAGAACAATATTGTCAATTCAAAATAAAAGTATTAGGGGGATATTTTAATGATAAAGACTCCCGCAGGTGGGATGTTATCAAAAGAAAACGTGGGGATTTTTATCGATGTTATCCGCAGTAGGAGAACACCGATTGGTCGCTTTACTAAGCGGGAAATTGAATATTCGCCATGCGGATTAGACGGGTTTTATTGCCCACGATGTCATTTTCCTTAACCTTGAGAATGAAGATAGATACAGTCGGCCCCCCTATAACACGGTAGGTACATTGCGGTTTTTATGAAATCCATTTTCTACGAATCCTTAAATACATGAGCCAATCACAACCCAGCACGTATGCAGTTTACGAACTACGGCTGTTTGAAAGGTTTTCTTCAATAAAATTAATCGATTCTAGACTAATTCGACTCAACATTTACAAAATANTTCGGGATTAAAATTGATACTATTTTAATTTTAGAACAATATTGTCAATTCAAAATAAAAGTATTAGGGGGATATTTTAATGATAAAGACTCCCGCAGGTGGGATGTTATCAAAAGAAAACGTGGGGATTTTTATCGATGTTATCCGCAGTAGGAGAACACCGATTTTTCGCTTTACTAAGCGGGAAATTGAATATTCGCCATGCGGATTTGACGGGTTTTATTGCCCACGATGTCATTTTCCTTAACCTTGAGAATGAAGATAGATACAGTCGGCCCCCCCTATAACACGGTAGATACATTGCGGTTATTATGAAATCCATTTTCTACGAATCCTTAAATACATGANTAATAATTTCTTAAAATATTATAAAATTATTCCTAACGCTTTAATTCCAAATGCATTTTCAGAATATTGTTTAAAGAAAGAGAAATATTTAAAAATAATCATAAATCCAAAATTGTTTTTTGCTGCGTTTTATCTATTATACTTTAAGTTGTTTTTCAGATGGTGAGTGGATTGTATTCGATTTTCTCTACTCTTATTGAATTGACTGGTGTTCTACGAAATAAAAGATGCTCTGCTGAAAGCTCTCTAAATTATACCTTTAAGAATAAAACAATTAATTAAAAGTGTTCATACTGGCTAATGTACTGGCGTACTATTTATGTACGACGGCCATTAATTTTTATTGAAGAAGTACGGAAATTTCACTGTTAATTCGTTAGTGACTGACAAATGACGTGTTCCAACAAATTAATAAACAATACTTTTAGAAGGAAATTCGACGATATAAAGTAAAAAGCTTACTGCTTGTTTAGAACGGTGAATGTAATGTCTTTTTTCAGTGATACACTCCCCAAAACCACTAATATAATCTGTATTGCAGGCTATGTTACGTCTTAGTGCTGCAGTTTAAAGCATACAAATTTGACTCAAAACTCGCAGCTGACGAATTGAGATGGACAATGTCAATATGTCAATGTGGTCGAAAAAATTTTCATGATCGAAACAAAAAATGTATTTGTTACAAACAGTTGGCCAAATATTCGATAAGATTCCGTGCAAACTTCAATACATTGCTCGGAACATTGATAACTAGAAAGAAATTAGAATACTTTTAAACTCGAGTTTTACACACTTTCCAACTCAAACTGGATTGCGAATAAAGTCAATTATCTTTTGAGTTCATCGAAATTTCTGAAATTACAGAAAAAAATTTATAAATTATTATGAAAGTTAGAGATTATGTATTAATAATTTTAATATACGCATCCTTTCACTGACATTTTTTCTTAAAGACATATTACTCGTGTTAACGTAATAATTTGTTTTATTCTGTAGTTTGAAAACATGTCAGATATTTATTATTGGGTAAATTACTTAGAGAAATAATAGACACACACAAAACAGTTATGTACAGTATATATATACTTATAAGAAACAAAACATTGCATTAATTAATTTAGATGCATTTGCATGCAGTAATATACTGCAAGAATTTTAGTATTGTTACAATGATTTGCTTGCTTACTTCTAATGAATAATCACACAAATTTAATTTTTTTATTTTAATAGCAGCGTTTTGTTATATATTAACTCTTAATGCAAATAATTCTTATAGTAAATAGAACAGTACTAAAATTGCGCCACTGTAAAAATAAAAGTGAAAATAAAAAGTTCTACACATCTATTTTTTATTCTTTTATTACATTGTTATCTGATATGTTTTGTTCTACTTTACTTTACGAAATAAAAAGATGTAGAATATAACGGTTTTTGTGTGACACTAGTTAGTAAAAAAAACACGTAATAAAATATTGTACTTGTAAATAAAAGTATTAATTCTCAGAATTTGAACAACAAAGTCGTTATAATTTTATATCTTATACAGGAAATTAATTTTTTAATTTAAAAGTATAAAATTTAATTAATTAATGTAAAAATGTAAAATGTATATTTTTACATTAATCACAATTTATACTAAACAGATTTTCTATCGGATATTCTCGTACTGTAAATCCTTTAAATTTTAAAATTTACATATTTATTGATTGTTTTAATCTTAAAACTTTTTCAAAAATTTATAACACCGACGAGACAACTAATAATTTAGTCAAGACTGTTTCTCCAGCTAGTTCGATTACCATACGAAAAATTATATCAAGATGTAATGTATATAGAAGCATGTGTTGTAGACGAACAAACAGTAAATATGAGGGTAAATCTCTTTCCATTCTTTTTTGAATTCTTCAAATATCTGCCAAATTTCCGATAGAGTATTCTATCAGTTCATCAATAAACGATCTTCTTGCGTTAGTTGCGAATTGCAACTGAATAGAAATATTTATGAACGTCTTTCTTATAAGTAACAAAAAATTACAGGAAAAAGAAGGAATAAGAACTACGAGAGAAGCAACGTAATTAAGCCAAAGTTCGATACTAAAATCACAAAGCAAAGACACTTTATAATTGAGTTAAAAGCAGAATACCCAAATTACGACGATTTTGTGGAGCAGCCACGGCTGTGGTGTCGTAGTCGGAGTCGTGGAGTTTTGGCGTTTTAGTCAGAGTCGTCAAAAAATCTGCCATCTCCGACTACTTTTTACTTATCAACTTTTTATGTATATAAAACAGAAAGGATATAAAACGGAAAGGTTAAATTCTAGACATTTAAATTTATATTACTGAGAGTAGTAGTAGTTTGTAACATACCGATCACAAAATTAATTTTTCGAGCAAGTTATTGTCGAATAAATTAAAGTCACAAATAATTTTTAAAATTAAATTAAGATTGCAAATAAAACTTTGTCTAATGGAATTATTTNTAATACAATCTAGTACTATTAAATAAAAGTACTTAATTCACAGAATTAAGAAATAAAAATCGTTATAATGTTTTTTATTATACAGGAAATCAGTTTTATAATTTAAAAGTATAAAATTTCATTAATTAATGTACCGTTACAAATGTAATCTGTAAATTTTTCTATTATTCACAATTTATGCTAAACAGATGTACTGTACTTGAGCAGGTTTAAATATAAATTGAATTGTATAAAAGTTTGAAATATTTAAAATGCGAGTGAATTTTTACAGTGTTACCTTTGAATAAATTTACAATGAATGAAATTTTATTACAGTGTAATTTATTGTCTCGACATTTTGTAGTGTTATTATTAGAGTACAACAACTATCAGACAATTATCGAGATTAACGTAATTGAATACCATGAAATAATTACGAAGAAATTATATTGAATTGATTGTAATAAATTGCATCTCTGCTTTAAATAGAAGCCAATTTATCGGTCTTTTAGATTAATTTCCTGGTGTAATCATTGTGATTATGAAANAGTATAAAATTTAATTAATTAATGTATTGTTACAAATGTAATCTGTAAATTTTTCTATTATTCACAGTTTATGCTAAACAGATGTACTGTATTTGAGCAGGTTTAAATATAAATTGAATTGTATAAAAGTTTGAAATATTTAAAATGCGAGTGAATTTTTACAGTGTTACCGTTGAATAAATTTACAATAAAAGAAATTTTATTACAGTGCAATTTATCGTCTGGACACTTTGTATTGTTATTATTAGAGTACAACAATTATCAGACAATTATCGAGATTAACGTAATTGAATACCATGAAATAATTACGAATAAATTATATTGAATTGATTGTAATAAATTGCATCTCTGTTTTAAATAAAAGGCAAATTGTCGGTCTTTTAGATTAATTTTCTGTTGTAATCTTTGTGACCATGAAATAATTACGAAGAAATTATATTGAATTGATTGTAATAAATTACATCTCTGTTTTAAATAGAAGCCAAATTATCGGTCTTTTAGATTAATTTNTGTATTAAGTAATATAACACCAAAACAAAATTATTTTTGAAAGTTTTTGTTTTTACATTAATAGATTAAATTAGTTTATTATGTTTAAGCTTTTCGAGTTTTTTCATTTACTTTGTCTAAAACATGGCACATTTTTCCTAGTAAGTGGTGTAGTAATTTTTGGTGATTGTTTACAATATAATTATGAATAAATGAAAGTCATATTTGCTAATGAGAAACATAATTCCAGTTTAGGTAATAAGTGCTAACAATGGAAGTGTTACGTAACAATGAAATTGTTAAGAGAAAGCGACGTGAAAGACGCAAATGCAGTTTTTTTTTTTCGTTTTTGCGGTACATCGAACATATTTTTAGAGCCATCTAAAAATTCTCTAATTAGTCTGAAAACAAGGGGACCCAATTCTTGCATTTTGTGAAAACGGGTAAAGTTGAATGTAACGTAATAATCTTAATCTTAGTTATCGTTACTTTTGCCCGAGCAATGCCAAGCCTACCGGCTAGTATATATACATTTCTTGATCTAGTTATTTCTTCACTTCACCATATTCCATTTAATTTTTTAACCGTTCTGTTGCTTTGTGCTAATCTTGTATGTAGAGAAAATGGTATTATGAGACCCTACAGGTATTATCGAACCCCTCCATTTCGAACTGAAAATAAAGACGAACTATAGCAGATTGTGGCTGAACTGCACTAGGCAGACATCCATAGCGAGGGGAAAACCTGTTTCACTTCAGTTAAACGGTTTTCTGTAATGAATCAGCACATTTGTCTTTTTCGAAATTCGAAAGTTTTCAATGGTAAGTTAATTTAATTATTTCTTAAGTATAAATCGTGTAGTTGTAGGTTCCCTGGTGCACGTGTTCTGTTTCAGAGACTTAGGGGTACGTATAAATCTGTGTGATGTTCACGTTTTTTATTGTTTAATCTCGACAGACATAAGTTAATTCGAGATGGCGATGCGTGAAATACGGACCCCATTGGTGCTTTTAATATGAAACCCATCTAACTTTTGTAAAATTATGTGGTAGATGAATGAAATAATAGAAGG